ACACACACACACACACACACACACACACACACACACACACACACACAGCCACCTCCCTGCAAAAAAGCCAGACTCAGAAAGGATGTCATATCCGGAAAATATTTTTGCAAAGTGAACAATTTTGGCACATGGCAGTGTCTACAGAGCCAATAACTGATACCATGATGGTTCTCATTTTTCTAAATATGTACTAGCAAAGATTTTATTGTACAATCTATAGTAAAGTTTACACTTTCATGTAGAACTTTCAATTATATACCATTAATCTCTAAGTCTTCTTTTATCTGACTTTCACTTTAAAAAGTTTGAGTTTAACAGAGTAAAAGAGAGTTACGAGATGGCTATAATCTATGTTTAAACCAAATTCTAAACATTTAAAACGTCAACAAGGCTAATATAAAGAAAGATCATTACCTACCCTTAAAAGCATGGCTAACATGGTAAGCAAGGTATCCACATAACCATACATTTTGCCTTGTGAAAACAATAGAGTAGAACGTTGAAGCAGCAACTTCAGTTCCTAAGTAAATAAGCACATGATAAGTGTGACAAGATTCCTTTGTTGTAAATTGTTTTGTTTGCATAGAAAAGTTTTGTCTTAGAAACCAAACCTTAAGAACATTTGCTTTATGATCTCTCACAATAATTAAAATCCAATGTTTTAGAAACTATAAATTATAACATTAACAATCATAATGTTAAGTTGCTGTAACTTAAGACTCAAAATCACTTTTTCAAGAACACTGAATTTAATACACTAAAATAAAACTTGGATATAAGCTGTAGGGATATCCTTAACAGAGGAAAAAGTTCTAAAACATAATCCACCGAGAAAAACTTCTTTCTATGTTACATGGCCTACCTGCTGTGCTGCATTTGCATCTTGTGCTAAAGTATCTGGATCATACATTGGTTCCAGAGCTTCCAGAGCTTTCTCAGGACGGCCCAGCTGCTGCTGAAGGGTGGAAAGTGAAATTCTTGCATCCAAATGGAGGGGGGCCAGATCAACCACTTTGCCATAGCTTTCGGCAGCACGCTCCATATAGCCTAAGGCCTTTAAGCATTCTAAAATGATGTTAAAATAAAGCATTAATATGAACTACAGATTTGTAAGCGGGCCAAAATTATTTCTCCATTTTAAAAGAAATTATAGCAATACAAACAAATTATAACAAGAAAGAAATATATGCATACTTCCAGTACTTTAAAACAATTATCCCTTTTAATCTCTATCTATGCTACAAGGATGTAATCAGTATATATTATATACACACACACACACACACACACACACACACACACACACACACACACAATTTGGTATTCTGATTTATTCACTTACTATTATGCTTTCAACATTTTCCCATGCCTTCACTGGCATTCTGACTGATTATAATATTCAATTAAATTGCTTATTTACTTAACCACATTATTTGACATTTAGGTTATCCCAAATTTTTACTCTAATAAATAACACCACAGTAAATATCTTCATGTATATAAGCCAGAGTTCACAAACTGGCAGACCAGTTTAACCTACAGATATGCTTTGTTAGGCCACAGTGCTGTTAAAAACAGTGAACTGTCTACATTCTTAAAAGCTAGGATTTTTTATGAAATCCAAGTTACTGGATTCTTTTGAAAAATCTGGATTTGGCAACAGCGAGTCCCTTCATTCCCACTTGGTGCATCAGCCATGCTGAGAAACAGCAGCACCCTTCAGACGGGCGTCTCCAGTTCTCACCCTGCCCTGGGCCTCTCACTTACCTACTTATTCACTTTTGTTACGTGCCAGGCTCCTGAGTTTTGTGATCTCCAATATAAACCACCTCCCCTCACCTCACTCAATTATTTCCTCAGGGTAAGTTCTCAGAAGTGAGGCTACTGGGCCTTATTCCTCACACTTTATGCCAATCAATCATTAAGTCCTATCATTTGAACTTGAAGATGAATTCCTGGTAAGCATTTCTTCTTTCCACCCTAATAGCCACAGCACTCACTAATCTAAGCCCTTTCACCTCTTTCCTTTTCACTGCAATGATCTCCTATAAGATGGTATTTTGCCTCTAATTGTTTTCTCAAATCTCAGATTTCTCAAATATCTCCTGATCACTATCTTTAGGTTAAACTTTGGTAATAAAGGAAGACTACTAAATGTGGATGGATCATCGTGATGGAATTTCTCATTATTTTTCACTTCTCACTTTAAAAGATATTTTGTTATTATGTTACAAGCATTAAATTCCTCTAATGATCTTTCTTATCTACTGTTCCAAATTTCTTTATGATTTTTAGATGATTCTGAGGTTTTACCTTCCACTTATCTCAAGCTACACAGGCTCAACATGGAAAAAGCATGTATCAGTATCACGATCATAATTAAAGAGGATTTAAAAATGTCTACTGTTAGTAACAGGAGCAGTATAAATACCACAGCCTTATGGAAGGCAATAAAAACTTCAATTCCCGGCTCATGTCTTTAAAACTCAAAACCTACAAATAATGTAACTTTTTATGATGGTATTACATTTGTATTCATGTTCACTCATCCAAATAGTAACGTGCTATCTTAATCATTAAGTGCTCTCTTTGCCATTTCATATCTGTGATATGTGTCAAAATATCCCAGAATATCAATCAATGCTACTCTAGTTATAGAGGATTTTCTGCCATTATGTAATATTTTAAGAAAATATTAAAACTTTCTGCCATCATGCAATATTGGAAACAAAGACTATTCAAACTTTAATGCATCTCTTATGTTGATTCAATAGGAAATCCTATGAGAATATTTTTGGCTTTCATACATTACTGTAAGAGATTTAGTTGTTTTTCCCAAGCTGCTTTTCCTACTCTAAATGATTTATTTCAGATTACTGTGGATTTAGATGCAATGAAATAAAATGACATATAAAATCCAATCTTGAGCATATTTTCAGCTCAAAGAACATTGAAAATATATTAATTTTTTTTCCTCAAAATAACATTAAATATAAATCCTTAAAAGCTCTTCAAAAATTAGATTACATCCCAAGTCTGACAATCTATTAGTAGAAACCAGAGCCTGTGGTTAAGACAGGTAAAAGACAGGTATTTAAGGTATTTTTAACAGGGATATGTTAGTCTTTCTACTTCACTCTGGTACCATTAAGTGAATCATTCCTCCAATATATTAGTGAGGGAAAATCACTTAGCAGTAAACCAAGACAACTTAAAATACTGACTTTCAAAAAACTGCCCTGAAACCAGAAATACTTTCACTAAGACATTAACATTTTATAATAATTATTACCATCTTGGGGAAATAAGTTCTTGCCTGCTTATGTGATTAAAACTTCTCCTTCCTACAAAAAAGTATTACCTGCATGCCGAAGCCAAACCACTGCGAGGTTATATCTTTCAGAGCAGACTAGCGCACTAAGGAGGGGAAGTGCAGAATTATATTCACCAACATCCAGAAAAGCTTCAGCAACATCGAGATAGAGGTCTCCCATGTCTTCGGGATTCTGTTCCACGAGTGTTGTCAAGAGAGGCTAGACCCCAACAATTAACAGCCGGAAGTCAAACAGTCATTACAAATACGCTCATCTACTTATATCTCTCTTTTTAACATATATACAAGTTATCTGAGGCAAATCTAAGAGGAGAAAGGCTTAATAAAAACAGCTTTAAATAATCACTTTTTAAATTCATTTCTGAGTCTCTATTAAAAAGAATTCATACTGCCGTCATTCACTCATTCAGCACACTGCTTCCGAAGGCCTGTTACAAGACAGGCATTGCAGGAGCTAGGGCAACACTGATCTGCTGTGCTCTTCCTCTGGCAAGTCAGTAACGCCCAGGCCTCAGGGCCTCTGTGTTTGCTGATTTTCTGGAAAGCTGTTCCCTCCGGTTCCTGCCTGGCTTACTTCGTCACTTCCTTCACGTCATTATTCAAATGTCACTTTTCAGGGGAGGCTCTTCTTGACCAATTTAATAAAATTGTAACTCCTCCCACCCCCAGTATTCCCTGTTCTTCTCTGATTTTTCTCCAGAGCACTGATCACCAACTAACATCCTATATTTTATGTATTTATTTTATTATCTAATCCCATTAAAACAAAAGATCCATGAGGACAGGGATTTGTATATTATATTCAACACTTTATCCTAAGGTCTGCAAAGTAGATGCCCAATACATTTTTTTATTCAATGATACACTTAGTCCAAAGTCGGCAAAAGAGAACAGCTGTCAGAAACTGCCAATTGTCTAAAAGGCCCAATCCCACACTCTGATCTCCGGATTATTCTCATTTTAAAAGAACAACAAATTATCATAAGCCCATTTCCAAACACTTAGCTTTTAAAAGACATTCACACAAAATAATCTGATGTTTACTGTGACTTCCTGGTTATTAATATGAAATCTAGGGTCAACTTAAAATTTCTTGTTATCTAAACATTGTAGATTTGATCTAAAGTATCTTAAGTACAAATCTTAATGTTACTTACATTAAGTGGTTCAAGGATGTTGAGATGTACAAGGCAGACCATCAACTTCACTGTGATATCTATTGGCACACCATCCGGTATAGTGCAGGAAACATTCTCACCAGCTGTGGATTAGACAGACAGACAAAAAGTTCCTATATGTAATCTTAGAAAGTGGGGCAAATGAAGCAAACTGTACCTTCTATGCAAGATCTCATTCACTTCACTCAAAGCAAATGATTCTACAGTCAATTCTAAGTTTGGCCAACTCTAGTTCTAGGTTCTTACACCTCTTTCGGTCTGTCCCTTCGTAGCAATTATCCTTCCTATTCTTTTCCTAATACCTTAACTGCTTACTGAAAACCTACATAAACTCCCACACCTTCTATCAAAACTACAAAGAACTAAAAAACAAAAGTGACAAATACGGATACATGAACTTTCTCTTTTTCTTCTTGAATCCAAAAGCCTCTTTTTAGTCTTCACTACAAAGAGCCTGAGAAAGGGATAAAGTAAAATAGTGTGCTTAAGTCTGAAGTAGCATTTTATGCCCATGCTTATGTTTCAAGTAGAATTTTTTCAATGCTTAAGTTTGAAATAAATTAGTAGAGAGCATTTTAAGCCCTTTTTGAAAAGTAAACTGCTTCAGTTCTAAAGGTTTTTGATAAGTTGCTCGGTAATTCATTCGTTTTTTCACATAGCACTATCAGGACCCTGGGTCAATGACAAATGCCAAGTTCAAATGGATGTATTGAGAAATAAAAGGGACTGAAAACACTTTTTTTTTTTTAAAAAAAGATTACCTGTGAGTGAATACTCACAAGAAAAAGATATGGAATCTCTGTTACGAAAATTGCTCCTTGGGAAAACTTGTTATGAAAACACTAACTATCAATTTCAAAATGCCACATTATGAACAAGAGAGGATTACGCACACTCTCCTATGCAGAGGAAACTACAACTTTTATTCTCTTCTGAAGTGCCTTCTTCTGTAGTTTTTTTTTCTAGCACAATTCCAGAAAAATCTGTAATTACCTAAAAGAATGGGGGAAGAAAAGGAAATAATACGATAGGAATGTATGAAAAACCTTTTCACAATGCAAAGATTTGTAGTTAATTCAAATAATCCTTACAAAACATAAATAGGCTATAAAAAGCAACAGTATGTCTCTTTAAAATAGGGAACCACTGTGAAATATTAACATTTTTATATCATATTAACTAATGCTTAACTGAAAATACATAATTTCTCTATATCAAACCAATCTAATTTTCCCAACAGATTAAGAAATGAATCACAGCAATCAGTCTGGCTGCTGAGTCCTGCTACCCTGAAAGACAGACATATCTAGCACCTATGATAACGGCGATAGCTTTTATTATATGGCAACTACATTTTATATTTCATACAGGACTATTATAAAATCTAAATGTGCCCATACAGACTTTAAATATATAATTTAAAATATAAGTAATTTAATATATATAACTAAAATGGGGAATTGTCAATTTGTAAGAATTTCTAGAACACAGAAACGTGTTCAAAACCTAACAGAGAAACACATAAGTGTTCCTACCTCCAAAGCTTTGTCATATTGTTTATTAGAAATGTATAGTTCAGCTGCAATGTTAACATCTTCCATGGAGACTAGGCCCTGGTGCTTTGAGAAAGCTTCTTCAATTATGTTAATAGCTGAAATAACATCATTGGCTTCATAGTAACTCCTAAAAAAATAATGGCAAAATGGATAAGAGCTTATTTAATTCAGATTATAAAATTCATTTTCTTACACAGACCCTCTAACTATTAACTATGATTTTCATCTTCTTAAAAGTTTGGGAGGAGGAAAAAAACTCTTCTTTAAAATCATAATCAGAGCTGATCCAGAGAAAAATGTGTAATGTCATAACATTAAGCATCTCAGTCTCCCAAAGCTACTTCATATCATTCTAGCTCACTTCCTCTGTAATGCAATACCAACAACTTTCCTACCTCAATGGGATCTACAAAGCATTGATCCTACCATTCTTTCACTGTCTCTGCACCCTTCCTGTCCTCACTTTCCTCCTCTGTGATCCAACATTATAATTACTCCATTGCACATCTCATTTCTTCTGTTCCTCTCTCCCTTTAACAAAATCATCTGATAAAACTCCAACCCTAGTTAATCCAAATATGCCTGCACCACCAGCTGCCCAGCTGCCCATGCTCACTAAACTCTAAATTAATGACCACTAGCCTCAAGTGGGCCCATGGTGCTGGTCAGCAATCTTACTACAGTTACCAGTCCAGTACTTCTCAAACTTGAATGTGCACACAAGTCAACTGGGAATCTTATAAAAAGGCATATTCTGATCCAGTAGTGCTGGGGCAGGGTTGAGATTCTACATTTGTGACAGGCTCTCAGGTAATACAAATGCTTCCGGTCTGTGGGGTAGCAAGACCTCAAGGACCCAGACAGCTATTTCACATCTTCTCCTCTCCAAACCCACAAGTCTCCCATCCTCACTCTCAGCTGATGACCTCACTTCTTATTTTACAAAAAGACTCAAATCAGACATCCCACATACGCCCAACACATCTACCTACTACTACCTACCCATACCCATGGCCATATCTTCTGCCTTCTCCTTTTATCATAAGGCCAACCCTCAACTAGATCCCATTCCCTCCAATTTATTCAAGGATATCAACCAAGCAATTGTCCCTTCTCTCATGAATCTTCAATATGTCCCTTGGTTGTAGATCATTCCCACCTGAATACAAATATACCGTAATTTTTCCCAACTTAAAAATTGTCTCTTGTCCCTACAACCCATTCCAATTATCTCCCCATTCTTCTGCTCCCCTAGTAAATTTCTCCAAAGAGCTGCCTTTCCCCCAGACTCCCCCAACCCATCTCCAATGTTCATACTTAGTCCTCATTTTATGTGATCTACTTGCAGTATTTCACACAGATGGTCATCCCTCCTCCTTGAAGTGCTTCCTTCAGTAAAAAATTCTAGAATATCATGTTCTCCTAGTTTCCTCCAAGTTCACTGTCCATTTCCTTACAGCCTCCCTGCTGTTTCTTCCTCATCATCCTGACTTCTAAACACTGTAGTGCCTCAGGGTTTAGTTCTCAGAACTCTTTCCTTCTGTTTCCCCTCCTCCTGCCCCTCCCCCCATCTCTCTCTCTCTCTCTCTCTCTCTCTCTCACACACACACACACACACACTCACACACACACACACCTTCCCTCATACCCAATACATCAGAAAATCCTTAGAGCTCAGCCTCCAAAATACAGCCAGAATCTGGTTATTTCTTACCACCTCCTACGGCTTTTACCCTGGTCCAAGCTACATTATCCCTTCCATGAATTACTACAATAATTTCCTAACTGTTCCCCCCTGCTCTATCCTTCCCATTACTCAATCTATTCGCAAAAGAGCAGCCAAAATTGATGCATTTAAAATTTAAGTCAGATCAAGTCACTCTTCTACTCAAAAACTTCCAATGGCTTCCAAACTCACTCAGATTAAAAGTTAGAGACCTTATAATGACCCACAAGGGCCGAGGGATCTTTTCCTGATACCTCTCTAACATTACCCCTTCCGGCGCTCCCCCTAAACCCTCAGCTTCCATGTTGTTCCCTGAGCATACCTTTGTGCTTGCCATTTCCTTTGCCTATAATACTCTTCCCTAATATCTATTCCCGTATCTCCTTCAGTTCACTTTCAGGTCAGTATGACCATAACATAAAGAATTAAGTCCTTCTCTAATCCCCCGATTTAAAATAACTCACTCCTGTTCCTCAACTTATCTCTCTTCCCTGCTTCATCTTTCTTAATATCACTTAACCAACATCTGATATACGACATATTTAGTTGTTTATTTGCTTACTGCCTGTCTCCCCCAACTAGAATGTAAGCTCCAAAACAGCAGGAAATTGTAAAACTCATTCAATACTGAATCTCCTGGTGCCCTGTACAGTGCCTACCTAATACCTAATTTATATTCAATAATTATTTCCAGAGGGAAAGTAGGGACTGAGAGAAAGTCTAATCAATCAGAAGTTATAGTAACAGAATTCCATGTAGGAAGGACTTCTATGGCAGTGGCAGAACTGTTCATTACCACCCTTTCCTGACAAGATTATAAATACAAGTGGAAAACAAATTTACTCTCACAGGCCATCTAACAATTCATAAAGTAGAAGCCTACTGGGCTAACCAGTATGACAGCCAAAGATCTGACTAAAAGAAAGTAACCTGGGAAGATCCTCAAAGTTCATCATATACATCAGGGATTGATTAAGGGTTGCCTCCCCTCAACAAATTTCCTAACAACACTTCCAGTATTCCTACATAGCCCATCTCTGAAGCACAGTGAGTGATCTCACGGCTAAGCATCTTCATGACAATGGCCATGGAATTAACAGGGTTAACCTAAAATACCCAGATCATAGATTAACATGGTTAATCCTAGGCTGAAATAGTAGACATCCTAGAAGAGAAAGCATACAAGGCATTATGTAGCCAGAACGTTCCCTGCCTTGTTTTGCTGCACAGCATATCAGAGAAGAGAATGTAGTTGGGCATATTTTAGAATAAAATATATACCATAGTCAGTAGCATGTGCCAAATCTAAAGAAAAATTTTCATCTTAAAATGTTATTCTAGGGCTTCCCTGGTGGCGCAGTGGCTGACAGTCCGCCTGCCGATGCAGGGGACATGGGTTTGTGCCCCGGTGCAGGAGGATCCCACATGCCGTGGAGCGGCTGGGCCCGTGAGCCATGGCTGTTGAGCCTGCGTGTCCGGAGCCTGTGCTCCGCAATGGGAGAGGCCACAACAGTGACAGGCCCACATACCGCAAAAAAAAAAAAAAAAAAAAAAAGTTATTCTAGTACAGGCTCAAGATAAAATGATTAAAGAAGATCTCAGAGCACAAACATTTCAATAGCACATTTGCAATAATTTAATATTACTGCAAATGTACCTAACTTCAACTAAATTATGAAAACCTGGGAACCTAGTCATCGTTTCAGAACATGCTCCATTTTTAAACTTCTGAGCATGTGAAAGATAACCATATATCCAAATTTTTCTAAACAATCACACAGTTGACTTGGAAACAGAAAAGTACTGGGGGGGAAAACCTCTATATTTAAGCACAATATGAAATACAAGAAGCAAAACACTTCACTGAACCTCAATAAAAAGTATATTCACATCAAATATATGCTTTGATTTCTAAAATAAGATGATTAATGAGGGCATTTATATATATTTCACTTTGAACTTACTTTGCCATATCTCTGGACAATTGCATAAATCGTTCTCCATCAGACGGAGACAAAAGGTTTAAAATACGCCTATAACCATCCATTGCCATTTTGTGATCTCCCATCTGTTCATAAAGGCTTGATCGCTCCCACAGATAACGGACATTAGTAGGTTCATATTTAAGTGCTAAAAAGAAAAAAAGGAATATAAATAATATCATAAAAAGGGGTTCATGGTACCTGGGTGTGACCCACCTTCTTTTCAGAAAATCTATTAAACACTCTAAACTAATTCTCCAATACAACCAAGTGGGTTATTCTGGAATAAATCTACCTTCACAGGAACTCTAGACTAGGCTTGATCTAAGACCAAATAGAACCTGAAATCTCCATATTAATCTCCATTTGGTCACTGAAGTCTAATATTAACCCTCAAGGAACAGCTTAGAACCAACACTGATCTTGGTGGGAAACTGAAGGTCCTGTTCTTCAACCAACTTTTGTGCAAATATTAGCTCACAATATAAAGAAAGTTGCTGATAAACAAGAAAATACAGGGAGCCCAAATACTTACCTCTGGTATAACAGAATATAAGGAATAAATATATTTCAGCTAACATCACCCCAGAAGAGCAAGTACATTGATCAAAAAACCTATTATACAACATTTTATCAAAGGAAACGAGAAAAACACTTTTATTACCTTTTGTGTAGCAAAAAATAGCCTGCTTAATATTGTCTTGTTCCAGGGACATTTCTGCCAATCTAACCCATTCTTCAGTGTCACTGGGATTTAAATGTGCAGCAATCAACTCAAACTGCAGTGATTTCTCCATGTCACCTTGGTCCTCATATATCATAGCAAGAGTAGAAAATGGCTCATAAGCCAAAGGAGCTATAATGAATATGAAAAAAAGAATTCCATTGGTTGAGGGAAGAGGCTTGAGCTGATGTCAATTCCATGTTTCACACTATGGATCCTTTCTCTAATATTTAAACTTTTTAAATAACATGAGCAGAATTATACAAACCACTTAATGGAATTTAGAATAAACAGTAGAGGGGATTCCCTGGTGGCGCAGTGGTTAAGAATCCACATGCCAATGCAGGGGACATGGGTTCGAGCCCTGGTCTGGGAAGATCCCACATGCTGCAGAGCAACTAAGCCCATGCGCCACAAACTACTGAGCCTGTGCTCTAGAGCCCGCGAGCCACAACTACGGAAGCCCGCGCGCCTAGAGCCCGTGCTCCGCAACAAGAGAAGCCACTGCGATGAGAGGCCTGCACACCGCAACGCTTGCCGCAACTAGAGAAAGCCTGCACACAGCAACGAAGACCCAATGCAGCCAAAATAAATAAATAAAATAAATTTATTTATAAAAAAAGAATAAACAGATTATATTTGCTTTAGTATATTTTCACATTTTTAAGATACTCTTTTCTGTAAGCAGGTGTAATTTCATGAAAAACCCTACTCTCTACCATGCCCCCTTCAAGAAAATCCCCCTTTGCTAAGGCTAAACAAGGCTCACTAACTCAGCAAGTTCATCCTAATGAGCATCAGCCATATCAGTGGGGTTAAATCTTCATGATCCGGCTTCCACACTGAAGGAGTATGGGATTAATGGACAGAAGATACATAAGTAGCACCTAAATCCAGATTATCAAAGTGAAAGGTTAATCCACATTTCTGAAATAATGTTTTTGAATTGAGGTTCTAAGATCACAAGGGATTAAAATCAAAGGTAATTGTCAAAATAAACAATTATAAACAATTGTTTATATTTATAAACAATTATAAAATAAAGGAACAGATAATACTGAAAGTAGGAAACAAACAAAATATCCTAAAGGAACAAATTCGATTAATCTTATTTCTGATGGGGTAAAAGAGGAAAAGCAGCGCCCTCAAATTACTCTAATGAATAATCCAGGAATCTTACAAGATTTCTAAAAGGACCCTAGACTAAATGAAAGGAAATGACAAAATATTGAAAAGATACATTGAAAGTTCACTCTAGTACAACTATCCCTGCCACTATGCAGGGCATCATTTGGCAACACATCAGGAGAGCAAAACAATAAATATAAGTGATTAGTCAAAAAGTGACTTCTGAAGATATCCTTCAGTATGCCTGAGGTTTGCAGTTTAATGGAAAGATGACAAGTGTATACTGTGTCTTTTATCAAAAAGTAGATTAAAATAATCTAACACTGTCTGATTTGGAAAATAGAAGATAAAAGAATACTCTTCAAAGTGGTTTTAAAATAATTTGTTCGCCATATTTTAAAAAGACTAATACTATAAAAGCCTAAAGCTCCTAAAATGAAACATTCAAAAACACACAAATTTTAAAAAAGCCTGTAAGAGTTCAATAAATATTAATGATATTTCATTGAATCATACTCTGCGATTTTCATTTTCTTGGCAATGATACCTATTCAATGTGAAAAGTGGTAAATCACTGTTATCACAATCACCTCCAAGCTTCTGAATATATTTTCCAAATAGCACAGTGAGGTGCTCCTCCGTTTGTTTTAAAAGTCAGACTATTAGGGCTTCCCTGGTGGTGCAGTGGTTAAGAAACCACCTGCTAAAAAAAAAGAATACACCTGCTAATTCAGGGGACACGGGTTCAAATGAGGCAACTAAGCCCGCATGCCACAACTACTGAAGCCCACATGCCACAACGAAAGTCCACATGGGCCGTAGAGCCCATGCTCTGCAACAAGAGAAGCCACCGCAATGAGAAGCCTGCACACCGCTACGAAGAGTAGCCCCTGCTCGCTGCAACTAGAGAAAGTTCACGCACAGCAACGAAGGCCCAATGAAGCCAAAAATAAATACATTTATTAAAACAAACAAGTCAGACTATTAAACTGCTATTGTCAATAATCCCCACATTAAACACCTTGTCTTATGATTTCCATGCACATCAATATCGCCTCTTCACGTTCTCCTCGAGCAAAGCGAATGTTGGCTTCACCCATGAGACCTCTCAGAGCTCTGGGAAGTTTACTCCGAGGCCTTTTCTCCTGTACAGAACAAAAATGACATTTAGATTCAAACAAAAAACAAATCCAACAAAACTTTCCTACAGTAGCAAGTTCAAGTCACAGTAAAATATTTAAAGAAAGCAAAAATCAAACTGGTCAGGCATTACTAAATTACTAATTAGAACAAATGTGGAACTGGATGCTATAAAATGGATTTATATGTCAGGAGATTTATGACGCAATCTACTGAAGATTCTCCTTTCAAACTTATCTACTCAGAATGAACTTGGTTAAAAGAATATCAAGTTACAATATGGACCTTTTAATAGCAAAACGACAGTATATTTTGAGACATGCAATAATTAAAGTTTTACATTTAAAAATCTCTAAAATGAAACATAACAAACCAGTAACAGTAGTTGTCTCATAGTGTTTCCTTTCTTACAGTTTGAATTCTTTCAGAATATATGTATAATTTAAAGATTCTTTTTCAATTTCTTTATCACATGTTTACATTCCATTTATAAATACGAAAATAAGAAACACTTTACTTTCATCATTTTCTTGGTTTCACGATTGAGAACCATCTCTAATACAAACACGTCGCCTGCAGTGGGTTGCTCAGGTGTCTCCTCCTCCTCGTCCTCCTCCTCGTCCTCCTCCTCCTCCTCATCTTCATTCTCTCCAAGCATGGAAGCAAAGACCTTGTGAACTGACTTACTGACTCCATCTGATGTTTCTCCTAAAGACAAAGACATTGAGGTTGAAAAGAAAAAAAAAGAAAGCTTCAGCATACTTACTAGTTGCAAGAAAAAACAAACAGTATTTTCTGGAATATAAATTTCTACCCCAGCAATACCAAACTTGAAAGAAAAACACAGACAAATGAACACTCCCCCAAAAAAAAATCCAAAGAGGAAAGCTGTCACAAAGCCATGTATTTTACTCTGCAGGAAGTGCTGACTCATCCTTTAGGCCTTACCCAGACATACAGGCAAAATTAGTGGGAAATCAGAAGCACACACGGTAACTGTTAAAAGCAGAGAGGAAAAAAAAAATAAAAGAATTGTAGGACATAGACCTAAGAACTAAAAAAGTCTGGTGGTACATAACTAGGAGGTATGGAACAGTGGTTTAAGGTGGTACATAACCAGGGGGTGTAGCACAGTAGTTTAAGGTGATACATAACCAGTGGGTATAGCACAGTGGTTTAAGGTGAGGTCTCTAAAGCCAAGCTGTCTGGTTTCAAACTTCATCTCCATCTATCAGCAGCTGTGTTACCTTGGGCAAATTACTGAAGCTCTCTGTACCTCAGTTTGCTCATTTGTAAAAGGGATCAATAATGTCTGCCTTATAGGGTAACTCTGAGGATGAGATGAGTCTTTATATATATGTACTTAGAAAAATGCCCAGCATATAGTAAGGGCTTAATAAATGCTATTATTAAAATTAAAATACTATTATTATTTCAGGAACAAAATAACATGACATATTTCATCTGTATCTGAGGATATCACTACAGTAAAATGATTTTTGTAAGTTCATAATGATTATCTTTTTTTTTTTAATAAATGTATGTATGTATTTATTTATTTATTTTTGGCTGCATTGGGTCTTCATTGCTGCATGCAGGCTTTCTTTAGTTGCATCGAATAGGGGCTACTCTTCGCTGTGGTGCGAGGTCTTCTCATTGTGGTGGCTTCTCTTGTTGTGGAGCACGGGCTCTAGGTGCACGGGCTTCAGTAGTTGTGGCACGCAGGCTCAGTAGTTGTGGCACACAGGCTCTAGAGCGCAGGCTCAGTAGTTGTGGTGCACAGGCCTAACTGCTCCACAGCATGTGGGATCTTCCTGGACCAGGGCTCAAACCCATGTCCCCTGCATTGGCAGGCAGATTCCCAACCACTGTGCCACCAGGGAAGCCCTCATAATGATTATCTTGAATGATCAAGAAAAGTTAAGCTGATGGTGCTTCCCTGGTGGCGCAGTGGTTGAGAGTCCGCCTGCCAATGCAGGGGATGCGGGTTCGTGTCCCGGTCCGGGAAGATCCCACATGCCGCGAGCGGCTGGGCCCGTGAGCCATGGCCACCGAGCCTGCGCGTCCGGAGCCTGTGCTCCGCAACAGGAGAGGCCACAACAGTGAGAGGCCCGGGTACCGCAAAAACAAACAAACAAAAAAAACAAAAAAAAAGAGAAAAGTTAAGCTGAGAAGCCAATTTTCTGTTAAAGCAGAGACAAGTAGCATATTTTAGAAAAGCTACAACAGTTAAAATTTTAAATATATATATATTCAAAAATCCTTAAGCTTATTCACTTATGTGAAATACCTCAAATCCCAAAGATGCTGGATAAATGAGATAGTCAATATACTTAAGGAAGAAGAGAATGAAAAAAACCCACATGTTCTGAGCAACAAATAGTAATTATTATTATGAAGTCATAATGATCATCTTCAAGAATTCTAAACACCCAAAATAAATATGAAAAAACGGTGTAAAATAAATCAATAAAATTTATTACAGTACAGAAAAAAAAAAAGAAAAGTCATATGATCATCTTGATACAGAGAAGCATTTTTTTTTTCTTTTTTGGTCATGCTGCATGGCTTGTGGGATCTTAGTTCCCCAGCCAGGGATCATACCTGGGCCCTGGCAGTGAAAGCGCCTAGTCCTAACCACTGGACCGCCAGGGAATTCCCCCAGAGAAGCATTTGATAAAATCCAACACCTATTCCTAATTAAAATTTTAAGTCAACTAGAAAAGGAAGGGAATACTTCAGTTTAATAAACAGTACCTACAGAAAATTTTCCACAAACACAGTTAACGGTTAATTATTCAAAGTCATCAGGAATGAGACAAGTATGCCTACTATCACCGCTCCTTTCAATATTTTACTGGATGTCCTGGAGGCCCTAGCTAATGTAATAAGGGAAGAGAAATAAAAGACATAAAGATTAAGGAAGAAATAAAACTGTCATTCACAGATGACATGATTATATACATAGAATATCCAAAACAATCTTTGCATAAAAACTGTCAGAATTCATGAATTAGCAAGGTTCCTGGATACAAAGTCTATATACAAAAATTAACTGCAATTTTTATATCAGCAACAATTAACTGAAAATGAAATTAAAAGAAGTCCCTATTTGCCTGGTGCTCAAGAATAAGAATTTTGCAGTAGAATTCACCAATGTATAGGAGGAAAAAGACAATGACTCTAGTGGCCATATATTCCAATTAGCAGACTTTACCTGTTCAAAACTGACCCCTTCCTCTGCTCTGAATACATGTTCACAGTTACCAAAGGTCTTGGTAAAGTTCTGGGACAATACCTTCCTGGGAAATTGGGAGTTTAATATCTTAAAAGGACTGATGGGATTACTTGAGCTGAGGCTAGTATGCCTGACTGCTCATGGGGAGCTAGAATGGGATTCAACTAACCACCTTTTTTTAGGGAGGGCCTAATGGGCACCTCTCAGGGGCAGCTTTAGGTAAGAAAACTGGCAGGCACCCCATGGTGTCTGGTACTACAGTTGCACCTCAAAGATGTGATGATGGAAGAGCAGCTCCTACTCTGAGCAGATAAGGAAGGACTCACATGTTTTAGAACAATTTCAGCCCCATTTTTCACCACACTTGCCTGGCAAGGTAAGAAACTATAACCCCAATTTTCTCTCCTCTTTACCCTTTCTTCCCCACTTGGTCCAAGGAAGCAGTAACAAAGCCTGTTCGTTTTCTGTCCACCCTACTAGTGTTTTCTCTGTGTCAAGTCTTATTTGTTTGGAGGGAAAAGAACCAGCCTCTATTTCTACCCACTAGGACTAGAAAGTTTAATTAAGTTCTCAATCAGACCTTACACCCAAAGCTAAATTCTAACTGATAGTTCAGTATCCCAGGTTACTTGACATGGGTAAATGGATACCATGAACTATCATCAGTATTCTGATCACTAAAAAGGTGTATCAATCACCAGAAATTAATAGATTTGCATAATAATTCATCACTTAGGCTCTCATGAGTTTAATTACTCTGGGCGCAGCAACCAAATACAATACCCGGTCATGCAGAGCTGAGGACTGGATCCTGGCATGAGGTAACATACCAAGATACCTCTTGTGTGTGTGAGGTCCCATATGGAGCCAACTGGCCTTCCACTCTGACATTTCTATCTCATCTCCCATAATTAAAAAAGTGGTTTGGAAGCCACTTTGTATAGAAGTATAATTCATTACAATTTGGGGGAGTATAGTCTAGAAGAATTAGTAATCAAGTGAGAGGGTCAATTTAAAGAATAATGACTCTAAATGGCTCCCAAACAAACGCTGATGTCGATCTGAAACACTTCTCCACAACATAACCCACTAAACTAACCATCATCATAATCAATAATTCAACAAATATTTATTGAGCACCTCTTACACACCAAGCACTATGCTCCTAATAAGCCAGGTATCAATGACAGAATACCACTGCAGGAAAAAAAAAAAATAATGCTTTCACTAAACTATTAGGTACCCTTAACATTTAATGCATTTAAGGTAGGGATCTTAACATACCTTCATTGACATCTTCGTCCTGAGATTTGGTACAGTCAACTCCTGATGATGATGGAACTGCAGAGTCATTTGGATTTTCCTCAGCTGATGACTTGCCTTTTTCCTGAAGACTCTGAGATTGAAAATTAATTAATGATTCCAAAATCAAGTGCACATTTAGCGCTCCCCAGTTGAGAATACAGCATCTGCCTCATTCTCTATTTCTATGACTTGAGCTCTGAACACATACATACTATGTGGAATCTAAATTTGAATATAGCCAAAGCATTTCATAGTACTTAGGTCTCATCCTTCAGGCTGAATCAGTCGTTTGTAAAAAATAATTTTTAAAACCTTGATGATTTCATTAATCTACACGTTGTATCCTTGCTTTTTAAATGAGAAGAGATGGGGCCCTATTAGTTGCATGATTTAGGAAGGAATCCAACAGCTAATCTCAAAAGGTGTAATTACTTTTGTTTTCCCTCGGACTTCAAGTGAGAAGACATGGAAAGTTCACGTATTTCCTCATAAGTCTAAAAAAATATGTCCCAGAGATTTTGTTAACAGACAAAAAAATTCACTCTTTTCTGTGGAAGATTACACCACACCATTGGGAGACTCCTGAAAAATGGAAGCTCAAATCACTCCGTCTAGAAACAGACACTGAGGCCTAAAGAAGAGAGGTGAGTTGCGCAAGAAGACAGTGGCAAAGCTAGGACTAGAACCAGATACTGCCTCCAAACTCTACTCCCCACGCCCCCATTTAATCTACCAGCGTTATGCTACCCTCAAATAAAAAATGCACTATTTGGCAACAGAAAAAAAGGTAAGTGGTTACCACCGAGACAAAAGCTTTTTGGTGGGTGAAATGTTTTGAAGAGGAGCTTAGAACAGGGACGAGATGAGAACCCGAGTTTCGGTAATAAGGGGAAGAAACTGCTGGAAGTACCCGGCCCGCCCCATCACAGCGAACGGGGTTACTGGGTCCCCCACATCTCTCTTAAGTGTTTTAGGGAGACGAGATAGTAGGGAGCATCCTGGCCCATTATCTCCTCACTTTCTTCTCACGGGTTTTTCTCTCTTCTCTCCGCCTTTCGAACTCCTCAAAGGAGATCTTCCCTTCCAGATAGTCGATGAGCTCCGGGCTGAACCCCGACATGTCTGCGGGGATCTGATGTGCAGTTCCAGAAACCGAAACAGAGAAACGGAAGAGCAGAAGCTCCCAGACGCTACCCCCACGCCGAGGCGCTAAAAACAAGGACCCGTAGTCCTTCCGGGAAAACTGCCCGGCCTGCGCCGCAACCGCGGCGCTCGGGTTCCGCAGGAACTTCTGGCCCCGCCTCTTCCTGGCGACGTGGGCGTGGGCAGGACCCGGACTGGACAGCGGCTGGACCCTCCGGGTCGCCGCGCTTGCCGCCGGGCTCAGGCCTCCGGTTTAAGCTTATTAAGGAGTTGGAAAAAAAAACGTGCTTTAAGAAAATGTTCCTTTATCTACATCATTTCCCGCAATTCTCCATTAAAATTCTGACTCTCAATCCATTTCTTTTTTGAACGTTTGTTTTTAAAATTAATTTAATCATTGGTGTAGTGATTTTTTTCCTTAATTTAACCATTTCCTCTGCCACGTGCACGTTCCACTTTCCAGTTCTGCCCTGCCACAGAAAGCTAAAGTCCTCCCACAATTTATGGTTTAACTCTCATCTCCTCCAATCAATGGCACCATCAGTTTTCCCCTCTTCCACAAATCCTCAAGCTGTCCCTTTCCTCAGACTCCTTCTCAGTCTGTAACTAGGTCATCTAGACTTCACGTCCCACCTCTAATTCTCACCCAAATTTTCTTCTTTTCTTAACAGTTAAACTTTTAGAGAGAATCAAATATTTGCTATGATTAGCATACACTATTGCCCATTTACTATACAGGCTGTGTACTGTCTTATGCATATTACATTCATATCTCAAAATAATCCTTTTGGATTATATTTTATTATTTTATGTTATTCCTAATGCCAACGTTCTGAATCTAATACGTAGTAGAGCCAAGATTCAAACCCTGGTCTATCTGACTCCCAATCCCATACTTGGAATTAATATGATATACTGCCTCTCCTCAGTGGAACACTTCTTCAGCTCCTACACACTCCTGTGGTTTACATTTTACCTTGTCTTATAACTATTTCTCTGCTGTCCTCTTCTAAAGACACTAGCTAGCTGTCAACATCTTGAGAACAGCACTACCTGATACATCTTTGTGAACTTTCCTCTGTAGGCTAGTAATCTATGTTCAAAACACATTTATGAATTCAGCTGGATGGAACTGAAAGTGCCTTGGGAATGGGCAAGGGATAAGAGGTACGGAATGCAGCTCAGTGCAGCTGAGGTTAGGGACAAGTTACAGGGAGCCTATCACCTGGCTTGGCCATTGGTGCCTCTTTATGACAATCCAAATGAGGAAAAGCAACAGTTGGATGGGAGAATGAGGGGCCAGGACCTGTAAGAGGGGAACTTCCAGGTGAGAGAAAAAATCTCCAGCTGGAAGTCATTCCTTTCTCATGATAAAGGATCCTCAGGGCCCTATCTGGGTATAAAATATGGGAGGCTAGGTGAGTGGGTTGGAATAAGGTAATCCACAGAAATCCCTAATAGGTAAATTCCCCCCTGAATTTCTCCAGGCTGTCAGGGAATTGCATTTGAGAGGAAGCCGAGTCTCTAGTCCTTAGGAGAAAAGAAGGAAATCAAAAGGAGCAAATCTGGTCACCTAGTAAGGAGAATGTTCTCCTAAGACCCAGATGGCTTAGACTAGCTTGTTTGTTATTGGCTGCCTGGAATATGGGAATAACAATTGTGATGATATAGATTCACATTGCAGAGATTTGCAGCAGGAAGCAAGGGGTGGGAGAACATTTTTTCTGCTGTGGAACACCTTGATGATGTGACAGTTTTGTTTTTTTGGTTTTTTTTTTTTACAGGTCAGAATGTAGCAACAGGTCTTGAAATTGGAATCTTTCTGCTTTTCTTTTCTCCACTTTGTTGTAAGTGATGTGTCCCCTGGTGAGTCAGAGGCATCCACATTACCTTGAGATGAAGTGGAATTGTTATAGCAGTAATGAAAATAGCAAGAAGAAACTTTTCAGACTTTCAGACTGATTTCTGAGAATCAAAATGGAATGTCTGAAGAAAGCAGAACATTGAATTTATACCATGACGAGAGCATGAAGAGTACACAGGGAGGGAATGACTCCCTCCTTCCTCAAGGGGAGGAGCCAGGATGGGGTGTGACACTTTTGGGGAGACAATTTTCCCATGGTTCTCTCACTTTTTTGCAAAAACTTGTGACTGCTTTCACTCTGGACTATCTTTTCAAGGATGTCTGGAGAACAAACAGCCTTGAAAGATAGAGATATTGTCTCCCTCTGGGACAGAGGGCAGATTTGTTTTCTGACCAGTATGATAATATTTCCCTCTGGGGCAAAGGTTGGGCATGTTTGGGCATGTAGCCCCCTTGTAAGAGTGGGGATTTCCTAAGTTTGGGGTTCCTCAACTGTGGCACAAACCAACTAGTGCCCAGTAAACACCTGGACTCACCTCCATATGGCCCCCATGATACTTGGGGGACAAGGAGAACCAACAGGAATGTAAAACACATGCTGCCTGCTGAGCCATGAATAATAAAGTCTATTGCCTTAGACCCACTGGTCTCAGGGCCCACCAGGATCTGTGAAATTGCAGCACCCAGTGTGTAGCTTGCAAATCAGGTAAAATCTCACACCCTTAATAGTTCTTGACCACACTAGACCCAGGATAGGGGACAACAGGCCATGTCCTAGGGATGGGGAATGGAATGCTCATCAAAGAGGAGCAGAGTCAGTGTTGAGAGGCTGTCAAGGACCTATGCAGAGAAGGACCACAGACCCCTTGGGAGCCTAGATCACCTGCAGAACACTTATTTTCATTGCAGGAAACACTACACTTCTGCTGTTTTCCTAACGACAGTTCTCGGCCAAGGACAAAATCGCTTCCCCAGTGGCCTTTTAGAAATGTGAATAGGGAGGTTTTGGTGGTCAAAATAATAGCGCAGGGGTGGGGAAATCACTAATATACCACTATACATTGTCTGGGGACCAGGTGTGCTAAATGGTCACCACGAAGACTTGTCCTTCCCCAACTGACAATACCATCACTGATAAGAAACTCTAGTCTAGTGGAGTGTAGGCCTCCCATCAACAGCTACCTGCCAGTTGTGAGGAATGTTCCAGCAGAAGGATGCATGTCCTGCGCTGAGACTTTGCAAGCTCATAGCTAAAAGTCCCCTGTGGATGCCCTTCCTTTTCAGAGGCCTTAAAACTAATAAACATTCCCTTTGTGGAGCTCTTGACAACCAGAGCAGGAGTGGTGAAAGGGAAAGGGAAAGCCAGTCACTGGTACTTGAGTGGAACTGGACAGGGGTGAAGCACTCCCTACCACTCTACCATTTATCTGAACAGGCTTATTTTTATGAGGAATAGCTCATCAATAATTACTTATAGGATTTCCCTGGTGGCGCAGTGGTTAAGAATCTGCCTGCCAATGCAGGGGGCATGAGTTCGAGCCCTGGTCCGGGAAGATCCCACGTGCCACAGAACAACTAAGCCCATGCTCCACAGCTACTGAGCCTGTGCTCTAGAGCCTGCAAGCCACAACTACTGAGCCTGCATGCCACAACTCCTGAATCCCGCACACCTAGAGCCCGTGCTCCGCAACAAGAGAAGCCACCGCAATGAGAAGCCCACACACCGCAACTAGAGAAAGCCCACACGCAGCAACGAAGACCCAACGCAGCCAAACATAAAATATAATTATAAATAATAATAACATATCTTTTAAATGGTAAAACAAAAAAGTCTGGCATTAACTAGAAGCAGCTTCCATTACTGTCTGACTAATAGCAAAATAACACACATTTATTTCAATTCATTAAGTATTTATTGAGTGCTTGCTACATGCAAGGCATTGTACTAGGTGCTGGAGAAATAAAAATGGCTTATATATGATCTTGGCTCACAAATATCTCACAACCCTCCAGGGAAAACACTTATACAACTAATTACAATAGAACATATTGAACCAGATATAGAATCTGTTCTTGCATAAATATTTTATTCTTGATATTGAATATCAATCATCCACAAAAAAGCCACAGAAAACTATTTTGGAATGTACAGACTAGTGTTTTTAGGATTACACTGTTTCCTTCTAGTACAGTGTTCCTTTTGCAGAAATCAGAGAAAATGATGCAGCTCTTCATAAAGAAAAGTAGCTATTTCAGATGAGAATATGAGAATCAGAATGATACAGCCTCAGTTGGGGAGGGGTGGGTGGAGGAAGAGGGTTGGTTATGAAAGAAGGGAAATCCACCTGTTTCTCCTCTCCCTTCCTGAGGTTGTATGTGGAAGAGCCAGAGGTGAGGCATGGCTAGGATATCTGGTGTAGCACAATGTCCACTTCTGAACATCGTGGCAGAGAACATCTCCCAGAGGCCCAAGAGACTCCTAAAATCCCACGTTTCTTTGCCTTCCATTTCAACTTAATTGTGGATATTCATCACTTACTCTCCCTTGATATGTAACTAAGACTGTGAGATCTTTCAATAGCATATGCTGACCATGGGAATGCATCTTCCTTTTAGAAAAAAGATAAATTTAAAACCCAAATTCCTGTTACATATAATGAACTAAAGTCAAAATGAGCAATGTCCCTTTCAAATAAAAACAGATTGATAAAAGGTAAGAAACATAGAAGACAAGCTTAAAGGAAACATAATTTAGAAGATCATTTCTTTTGACTTTATGGTGTTTCTGTAATCCTTGCAATATATGCCGTGCTCTACACTGGTATCTATGGTTATTGACTGAGAAAAAAACCCATGCACGGAAGTCACATATGGCCCAAAGCTCAAGCTGTTTACATAGCTTGAGCTACGTAGACTAAAATGTAGAATAAAATCATTACAAATTAACAAAAATGGAGGGAAAAAACACATAAAAGTTTAGCCATGACCATGAACCAATTTTTCTAATGAGAAGCTTCGTCTGTAGTTTTAAAACCACCAGACATCTGAAAGAAAACATTATAACGAATGGAAAATGAAGATTAACACAAAGACCCAAAGATCAACATAGTTCAGTGAAAACTCTTTTTGTCTTCATTTCCTAATGAGAGTTGTTAGGAAAGGAGAGCTTGTATTTATGAAATATTCTCCAAATCAGAAACTTTGCTTCTTTTGCAAAGTTGAATAATTATTATATTACAATATCACTAACTGGGTGCTTTCTCTTTTTTCCTGCTCTTAAATATTTCCTTGTTTCATGCTCACACAAAAGTATGTATTTGATGTTTTCTCTGATACTTTTTATTAGAAATCCATATATGCAATTTATAGATGAATAAACTAAGGCTTACAAACAACTTGTATGCAATACTGTCTCATACTGAAATAGGTACTTGGTATTAACAATTATTCTGTTTTAGTGTCTGTTACCCTAGGGCCTGAGTGTGAAAAATAGTCAAGGGATCCTTCATTAATATACTTGTGTTTATTCTATTTTATTTTCTCATTGTAGGACAGTTCTCAAGTGCATATACCACATGGTAAATTGCATCCTCTTAGAATAATCATTATTTTTAAAAAATCATCCCATTTAAAAGAGCTAATCATCAAAACCCTTTCACAATCATAATGAAGTGCAACAATGGTTTGCTTCCTCACAATTTCATCCTATGCCCATGAAAGAATGGGAGTAGATTTTAATTATGATTCGGTTCCCTTTATTTATTAATTAATTAATTTTTTTTTTTTTTTTGCGGTATGCGGGCCTCTCACTCTTGTGGCCTCTCCCGTTGCGGAGCACAGGCTCCGGACACGCAGGCTCCGGACGCGCAGGCTCAGCGGCCGTGGCTCACAGGCCCAGCTGCTCCGCGGCATGTGGGATCTTCCCGGACCGGGGCACGAACCCGTGTCCGCTGCATCGGGAGGTGGACTCTCAACCACTGCACCACCAGGGAAGCCCCGGTTCCCTTTATTATTAAGCCAAATGAAAAGCTAACAGACTAGAATCATAGTATATTTTCTTCGACTGCACCATACCTGTTCCTTTTTAAATGGTAGGTATTTATTTGACAGGAATGCTAAAGTAATAAGAATAGTAAAATTCAAATCTTAGACATAAATTTCTAATTTTTTTCCTATGAAGGGCCATCTTTACTAATATTCTACTCTTTTTCCCTCTCTAGGTGAGGAAGTTCAAGCTCAAATATATGCTTAATACTTTCTCCCAATAGAAACCATTCTTTTAAATTTTTACTATCCATTTAATCCAACTGTACAGCTCAATATATTTCTTTACAGATAATTTTCCACATAATTTAGCTCTATGACCTGGTCTGAAAAAAGATATAGGTATAAGTATGTGGTTTTTAATTATATTTCATAATTCTATTGAGTGATAGTTCTACTATTTTAATATATCTCTCCCCAGAAAACTATGCTTTAAAAATCACAACTGTCATTTCTTTTTAAAACCAGACTGTAAAATATATGAACCAAATCAGAGTATTAACAGTGATGAGTATCATCAGAACTGAGCAGTTATTTACATGAGGAAATAAAATCATTTTTCAAATAAATATTTTCTAAACCTCTTTATGACTTTATGACTGAGTTGTATGTTTAGATAGATGCTGGGAATAAAGGGATGAGTTTTACCTGCACTCAGAAGAAACATTCAGACTTTGAGGTAATTGGGGAAGGAGTTTTTCTGTTCTTCATAATCTGCAAATGCAGAAGCAATAAGTTCTGATTGGAAAGAGAGAGGTCCGGGATTCTCGTTCATGGAGGAAATATTTGAAAACATTCCAAGATCAAGACCTCTTCCTTTAAAATATGCCTGAAGGGTTCTGAAAAACTGAAGAGAGAAAGAAAATGTTCAATGTCATTTATCATTTAAACACTCCAAATACTCAAAGATGAGTATTTTTCCCCTCTCATTTCCCCCCCAAATTGACTTTAGAGCTAACCCAGGAGGCAGGAGGTGGAAAATCAGAAACACAAGCTGTGGCTCCTTCTCCCCTTCCCCCTCCTTTCTACCTGACATTTCAACTCTAAACAAAGATAATTCACCATTCTTGAATATCAATTATTTAACAGCCCACAGTGAGAAGATTCATTGGCCATCTCTGAGTACTGAAGTCAGAGATGAAACTGAACTCCACAGTGATCAGAGCTCAGGTGTCTCCTCTCCGATTGATGGTGAGCTAGATCCCAGTCATCTCAGACGTGGGGTTTTCAGCTGTGTATTCTGTGAATACACAGAAGCTGTGCAAAGTGCTCTTTGATTGTTTTAATCCTATATTGGTATATTTCACATCATTTTCTTTAGAAAAACTATATTTTGAAATCGTAATGTCATCATGTTTACTGTATTTGGCATATTTTTAAAAGAGAAGTTTTACTGGTATTTTGAATTCTATTTCCTAGATAACGTTATGTTGAAAAGAATGCCTAGCAAATTGAAAAGAATGCAGGTTGACTTTCAGTTTTTGCAATGGAGCTTTGCAAGTATTGGTTATGTGAGAATCTGTTTTGTTATCAGTTCGACCTAAGCTGTGCAAAACGTAATTCCCTGGTACGCTCTTGATTCTGTATATATCAATATATTAGAAATTAAGGCTATGAAGTCAATATGTATATAATATTTACAAATGTAATGTGCTATGTGTGTATAAGGTCATTTCTAAATATAAATTTGTTTCTCCGTACAGAAACAAGTGTAAATGGGCTAGAACACCGGCCGCTAGGCTAGCAAAATTCTTCTCTGGTCCTGCTGGGGAATCTTCTTAGCCCTTGGCAGCCTCCTCTCCACCGTGCTCTAGCAGAGTGCAGTGTGCATAACTCCAAGGAGGTGCCAATTTCACCCTGCAGCCTGGCATGTCCCAGTGGCTGTTCTTACCAGATCTCGGTTTCTAGGATTGTTGAGGGGCTTCTATTTTTCTTCGTTTCTCAACACGGCTCCATGCACAAGCCCAAGTTGCACCAGGGCAACAGCCAGCAGCAGGAGTGCTCTGGGCATTGTGGAAGGAAGCTGAGTGAAAGGAAGGACCAGGGAAATGTCAATGGCCAGAGAGAGAGATATAGAAGAGGGAGAGAGAGGACAAGGGAGGGCAAAAGTAGAAAAGAGAAAGAGGAAACATTTTTAAAGGGAGACAAAGAAGAAGAAATAGTATATTGGTTCACCTGAATTTTGCAGCCCTCTTTTTTTCCACATTCATTTCTTAATGAACCCCCCTAAAACCAGTTATTAGCTTAAAGGAGTCCATGATAAGGAGAATGTTATACAGTGATAAACAGCAATTATGAATACAACCTAGAAAGTGAGTATGCCTTTTCATCTGAAAAAAATTGCACTTTGTTGTCTCCAAAGAAACTGCAATTCTTAACAATAACAACAAAAAAAGAAAAAACAACCAATCTTAAATTACTTTAAGTGTTAAGACAGCAGTCTTAAAAAAAAAGAGAGAGAAAAGAAAAAAATATACAGCCCGAACTGAAAGATGCACCTTACACACAGGTCTGAGACAGACACACACCACACCAGTGTAAGTAGAGATTGTATCCCACCCCAAGGTGTGAAATGGAAATGAAACACACAGAAAGAGCTAATAGAGCTTACCAGGAGTTTGCTTTTGCCTGGCCCTGGTTGTTTACCCTGCCTACAATCTGCAAGGCGATTCATGGCTACTTATAACCAGTGGATCGGCTGCAGGTGGGAGTCATTGATGTGAGCGGGGGTGGGGGGCTCAAAAATAATGATTCCATTTTCATCCACAGCACAAAGACCCTTGAGAATCACATCTTCAGGCTTCTTCAGGGTTAACAGTGAAGCTATTTGTCCTAAATACAGCAGACTCTCCTCCAACCACTGAACATTTCATTTGGATGTTATAGAACACACAAGGCACTTCCACACGGCAAAATGGCTTTCTCCTTTTTCACTTTTAAGAGAAGGTATATACACAGCAGCTGGGAATATGATAATGATTATCCCACCTAACAGAATGCTCTTTTGGAGCTATCAGCCTTTCAAATTAATCACATTTTTTTAAACAGAAAATTCTATTGCAAGAGACAAAATTGCTCTTTGTGACCCATACCTTATATTTCTTCTTAGAATCTCAAGAAGCTTTACAAGTTTTAAATAGTGGTATGGTTAATCATAATACCCTTTCAAAATAGAGCAAAAAGATAGCACATGTTTTGTGGAAAAAAGAAAACTTACCTCACCTATAGCATCCCCTTGCTAAATAAATGCCATCTGCAGAAAATGGAAGGGTTGAGAAATTGGACTTGACAAACTGAAGTTGCTTTGGTTCCAATAGTTCAGAACAATCCAGAACAAGCTCTTTGTTGAGAAGGCTAGTAATCTGGACCGGAAATTAGAATACCTGGCTACAATCTCATCTTGCCATTTTGACCTTGGGAGGGTCATCATGACCTTCATTTATTCACGCCTTTGTTTATTCAACAAACTTTTACTGAGTGCCTACTATGTGCCAGGCACTGCACAAGGCTTTGGGGATAAAATAGTAAGAATAATAGATTCCCTGCCCTCATGGAATTAACAGATTAGTGAGCAAGACAGACGTTAATCAAACCATTATATAACAAAGTGTATAAATATCAATGATGATAATTTCTATTGAGATTATGGCACTATGACAGGGTAGAAGAGGTGGATTCGATGCAGTCTCAGGGATCAGGTAAGGCTTCTGTGAAGAAGTGACCTTATATCTGGTAGATGAGTAGAGTTACCTAGGCAACCTAGGGAGAACAGAGGGAGAAGAGGTTCAGACAAGGTGAACAACTGTACTAGACCTTGTGGCTGGAAGGAACATGGTAAATTAATGCAACTAAATAAGTCAGTATCTGAGGAGTATAAGGAGCAAGGTGGGGGGCTGATGCAACTTGGGCCTTTAGAGGTAGTCAGATTATGATCTTTCTGCTGCAAACAATGCTAACTGATTGAAAAGTTTTAAGCATCCAAGTGACTTGGTAACAGACTTGCAATTTTAAAAAGCTATTCTGGTTGCACTGTTGGAGGACAGACTGAGCTAGAAAAGAGGGAGACCAGTTAGGGGGCTACTGCAATAGTCCAGGCAGGACAAGATGTTAACTTGGATTGGGGTGGTAGCACAAATGCAGAGTTGTGGATGGATCTGAGAGATATTTAGAAGGTACTGATAATGTACTGGATACTATGGGAGGCAGAGCTAAGGGGAAGAGAGTTTCAAGGCCAATCCCTAGGTCTCAGGATTATGCAGCTGAGCAGACTACAGTGCCATTAGCTGACATATCAAACACCGGCATGAGGAGATGAGGCTCATGGGTTCCAGGTGGGACACATTGAATTTGAGGAGCCTTGGAGATCTCCAAGTGGGGATGGGGAGTATACAATTGGATACACAGGCCTGAAGCTCAGAGGAGAGGTCTGGAAAGGAGATGTAACTATGGGGGCTGTAAATATGGCATGGAAAGGATGAGATTACCTCAGTGAAGATTAGCAAATGAGAAGAAAAGGTGACGTAGGACTTGAGCTTTGAGAAATTTTAACATGAACCAGCCCTAAACCAGAATCTATATGAAGGAGACCCTGGAGGTAGGGGGAAAACCAGGAGAGGATGGGAGCAAGAGAAGAAAATGTTTCAAGAAGGGACAAATTGGGTAAATGAGGACTTAAAAGGATCCATAGAGCATTAGAGATATTTGGGTAGATGGAGGTGAAGGTCAGATTAGAAGGGACTCGATGGACAGGAAAGAGAGAATGAATCCATCAAGCTCTTGAGAAGTTTGCCTGTGTCTGTGTGTGGGGGGGGAAGGTGCTGATTTTATTGTTAAGACTTGAGTCTGTTTAAATGTCAGTGGTCATTGCTTTCTTTAACCTAACTATGCACATTTGCCTACCATCACATCTCAAAGTTTTCTCCTATATTTTCTTCTAGAAGCTTTATAGTTTAGCTTTTACATTTAGGTTTATGATTCATCTCGTTAGTTTTGTATATGATGTGAGGAAGGTTCCAGGCTTATTTTTTTTCCCATATAAGTATCCAGTTACTCCAGAACTGTATGTTGAAAAGATTTTCTTTTCCCATTGGAATGTTTTGGCACCTCTGTCAATAATCAATTGACCATAAACACATGGGTTTATTTTTGAACTCTTTGTTCTGTTCCACTGATGTACTTACTACTTATCCATCCTTTTGCCAATACCACACTGTCTTGATTACCATAGCTTTATAGTAAGTCTTGAAGTCACATATTGGTGTGATTCTTTTCCAAAATTGTTGTGACTATTTGAAATTGTTTGCTTTTCTATATACATTTTAAAATCAGCTTGTAGAGTTTTAGAAAAATAGCCTGCTGCAATTTTTATTGAGATTGTATTTAATATATATATCATTTTGGAGAAAAATGACATCTTAAAAATAGTGAGTCTTCCTATCAATGAATATTATCTCTCTTTATCTTAGGGCTTTAAAATTTTCTCTAAGCAATATTTTGTAGTTTTTGGTGGAGAGACCTTGTACATATTTTTATTTATTCCTAAGTATCTTATAAATGGCATTTTATAAAAATTATTTTACAGTTGTTTGATATTTGAATATGGAAAATATTTTTTGTATATTGACCTTAAATTCTGTGTCCATACCAGTCCTAGTAGTTGATTTATATATTCCTGAGGGCTTTTATAAATTACTGGATTTGATTTGCTGGTATTTCATTAAGACCTTTCACATTTATGTTAACAAGGAATGTTGGTCAGTAACTTTTTGTAATTTCTTTGTCATGCTTTGACATCAGGCTGTGCTTGCCTCATAACATGATTTGGGAAGCGATCCCTCCTCTTTTATTTTCCAAAAGAGTTGTCAACATCGGTGTTACCGATGTTCAACAGAATTAAAACTTCAATACAATTCACCACTGAAATAAACTGGGCCTGGAGTTTTCTTTTGGGAAGCTTTAATTTTTCTAAGTCAGGTTTATTAGCATGTAACTTATATATCCTTTTTAGTAAAAAGTTCCACAAATTTTGTATAGCTATGTAAGCACCATCACAATCAAGATTTAGAACATTTCCGTCACCCCCAAAGTTCCCCTCAAGCCCCTTTGGAGTCAGTTCCCCTGTAACCACTCTTATGTTTTCTGTCACTACAGTTTTTCCTTTTTCTCTCATATAAGTAGAATCACACAATATGGCATGTTAGCATACTGAACTTAAGAGTCATCAATATTATTTTACATATCAGCTGTTCACTTCTTTTTACTTGCCAAGTAATATTTTATTTTATGGATGTGCCACAAATTTTCTACCCATGCACCAGTTGACAGACACTTGGTTTGCTTCCAGTTTGGGGAAATTATTAACAAAGCTGCTATAAATATCTACATACAGGTCTTTGTTTTGACATGTTTTCATTTCTTTTGAGTAAACATATGGAAGTGGTATTGCTGGTTCATATGCTAAAGGTATGTCTCACTTTCTAAGAAATTGCCACACTGTTTTCTAAAGTGACATTCTCTTTTGCATTCCCACCAGCAATGTATGAGAATTTTAGTTGCTTCAAATCTTTACCAGTACTATTGCCAGTTTTTGAAAATTTTTATTTTAGGCGTTGTGGTTATAATTAGCATTTTTCTAGTGACTATGTTGGGCATCTTTTCATGTACTTAGTTTGTCACCCATGTATCTTCTCTGGTGAAGTGTTTAAGTATTTTGCTCATTATAAATTTAGTTGTTTTCTTGTTGGTGAATTTTGAAAATTCTTTATATATATTTTAGATACAAGTTCTTTATCAGATGTATGTTTGGTTTTCTCTCACTTGCAAATTGTGTTTTCGTTTTCTTAACACTGTTTTTGAACAGTGTTGAAGTTTTTATTTTTGGTGAAGTTTAATTCATCAATTTTTGTCTTTTATGATTTGGGCTTTAAAAATATTTTAAAATTTCTATTTTAATTTCTCCATTGGTATTCTAGCTATACCTCTTTGAATTATTATTTTAATGGTTGCTTTAGGGATTATAAAATGTAATCTTACACATAGGGAACCACAGGTAATAATACTTTAAAATTAGCTGGGGTCAATTGTAAAAAGAAAAACTTCAATTATTTCTTAAAGTTTTTCTAAATGTATTAATCTATTTAGTAAATATAATAACTGGACCATAATTAAAATTTCTGTTATATAAAACTCCAATACATACAAAAGTAAGGAGAAAAGAATAATGCAAGTCCACGTACTTATGACTCAGCTTCAACAGTTATCAACACATAGGCAATTTTGTTACAGACATAATTTTTGTTGTTGTTAAATCAGGATTTTGAATTATCTTGGGTCACTGTTATGATTACTCATTTGAAAAAATATTTAACAAATTTCTACCATGTAAAATACGCATTGCTAAGTGTGGGACTACAAATAGGTGTATGGAAAGGGACACGATCCCTGCCTGCTACGAGCAAACAATCTATATGGAAAAACAGCATGGTGTGGTGGAGTTTCAGAACCAAATTTAACCATGTTCAAAACTGGACTCTGCCATTCTCCTGGGCAAATATTAATCTCTCTGCACCTCAATTTCCTCATCTGTGAAGTAACCCTACTTTGCAGTGTTGTTGTAAGATTTAGAAATGATACGTATAAAGGGCACCTGACATGTAGATGCTAAATGTCACCATTATTAAGAACTGCACATAATGTGACCTAATGTGATGATTCCCATAGGATATGAAACTATGACAGCAAGAGCTAGAAGTAGGGATAAGATTAGTCCTGACTGGCAATTGGTAGATTTTTACGGAGAAAATTTTGACAGCAAAGATGTGGGAAGAAGTTCTTGAGCAAAGGCAGTGAAGTAGCAAAAGGGAGACAAAGGAGATGCAGTAGCCAAGTTTGCATGTGTGGCAGACTTGGCTCATTGTTTCCTTTTATCCCTTTTGTTATGGGCAGAATTGTATTCCCCTCCCCCCCCCCAAGTTTCATATGTTGAAGTCCTAACCCCCTATCAGCTGGCACATTGATCTTGGACTTCTCAGCCTTCAGAACTTGAAGAAATAAATTTCTGTTGCTTAAGCCACGGAGTCTGTGGAATCCTATTATAGCAGCCCAAGAAATACACCTTTCTTCTTAGATGTTGTTTGGGGTAGCACAAACCCAGCTTAAAAACTTGATTCCGCCATCTCCCTTGCATTTCTTTAGTGGTGATGCGATATTATTCTGGCCTGTGAGCTGTAAATGGAAGTCCCTGAGTGGGAAAGGGAGAGGAGAGGGAGAATCCTTTCCAAATAAAAGGCAAAATTCCTTTTGCTCCTTTCCCCTCCTTCCTGGAATGGAAATATCATGCAGCCATGG